AACATGGAATATTGGGTGTCTGGTGGAAGTACAAGGGTAGCTCCTTCTGATGCACCAACACTTCGTTTTAAGAGGGTATGCAGTGTCGGACACGTGTCGGACATGCTTGTTCGGCTATTGTATAAATAAATAAATAAATAAACCCTAATCCCACTATTTCATATTAGTCGGTTCATGCCCGAGTCTTCATCTTCACCTTAATCTCGTACTCATATTCGTATTCGTGGTCTTCCCGAGCGATTGAGGCGAGCAGCGGTCGGCTAGAGATCGCACCCTTGGTCTTCCCTTCCGGCCGTAAGCAACAAGCCATCTTCCTTAGTTTCTGCGTGTAGCCGAGGGAAGCGACGCCAAACCGCAAAAAAATTTTCAAACCTATAAGTTGATTTCGCCATTTTTTTCTTCATTCGCCATTTAAATTGATTATGTAAATTTGTGATCAGAAGAGCATATTTTTTTAAAGTGTTTTATTTGTTTTGGATTAAAATTGCTCTTACAAAAAAAATTTGTTTATTTAATGAGCTTTTACTATGCTTTTGCTGCTCTTTTGCTGTACTTTTGCTACACTTTTACAGCGCTTTTGCTGCGCTTTTACTCTTCCAATAAATTTTTTGTTCCTAGAGCAGCACCCCCTTGGACCCTCGGCATAGCTGCAGATAGTCATGATGCATGATACAATAGTTCTTTAATTATTTTTTAATTTTGTTTGACAATATTTATTAAGTCTTTATTTCTTCTACTTTACCAGTGAATTTAAAAGCAAAATGAGCTCTAGTGCTGGTGGGAGTGGTTCAAAAGAGCCATTTGTAGAAACTGATAAGTCATTATGGATTCATGTTACAAGGTTAGAAAAAACTTTTGGAGGAAATGTGTCATTCAAATACAATTATTGTGGTGGCACCTACAAAGGATTTTTTTTAGGGTGAAAGCACATCTACTTAAGATTTCTGTCCATGGAATTAAAATGTGTCCTAAGAATACTACGTCACAGTTGATTGAATTGAACAAACAAGTTGATGAAGCTGAATCTAGGATCAAAAGGGCACTTCCTAAAGAGATACCTTTGCCATCTACCCATGGTTCATCCCACACTTCTTCCTCATCTGTTAGAGTTGATCATTCATTATCATATAGAAATGAATGATATGATTCAAAGAAAAGAAAAGGAGTTGCCAGTAGTGCTTTAGAAAGGCTTTTAACATGCAGCAGCAAGAGAAATTGGATGGTGAAATTGCAAGGATGTTTTTTCAGCTGGACTTCCTTTCAACCTTTCAAGAAATTCTCATTACAAAAATGCATTCACTTTTGCATGTAATAACAACCTTGCAGATTATGTTCCACTTGGCTACAATGCATTAAGATCAAAATTATTGGAAAGGGAAAGAGCACATATTGAAACATTGCTTGAACCAACAAAAGGTGTGTGGAAGAAAAAAAAGGAATCACTTTTATGTGTGATGGTTCGACTGATCCTCAAAGAAGACCACTCATTAATTTCATGGTCGTTACAGAGAATTGGCAAATGTTTATTAAAGATGTGAATTGTGAAGAAAAATACAAGGATAAATATTTCATTGTCAATTTGATTAAAGAGGTGATAGTCATTATTGGGCCTTCAAATATTGTGCAGGTTATAACAGATAATGCACCGTTGTGTAGAGCTGCAGGATTATTGGTGGAGCAAACTTATCCTCATATATTCTGGACTCTATGTGTTGTGCACACTTTAAATCTTGCTCTAAAAAATATTTGTGCAGCGAAGAATACAGAGGCAAATGAAATCATTATTGCTTGCCATTTTTAATATAATGTTACCTTAATTTTTATATATTATATTAAAAAATTATTATATCGTGTCCACGACGCACCTGTGTCCTATATTTTTAAAAAATTTCGTGTCCCGTGTCGCCGTGTCCATGTCGGTGCATCATAAGTAGCTGCAAATGATATGCCACATACCAATCCTCTCCACAACCTCTTAAGACACAGTACAGTGGAGAACTTTTCATTTCTTCTTCAAGCTAAGGTATTTTGTCTGTAGGGTCGAATCTTCAAATATACCTTATCACCCACCTCGAACTGCACAACATCTAATATATGCCCGTCAGACTGCTTCTTCATAATTTGTTGTGCCCTCAATAAGAGTCTCTTTAGCTCTCTCAATATCATATATCGCTCCTCCAACTGTTCTTCTACTAATAAAACTAGAGTGCTCTTGGTCCTATAATATACCAAGTGAGGATGGTCTCTTCCATAAGGGAGTTTGAAGGGTGTAGTTTGTGATGCACTATTGTAAGATGTGTTGTGTCAATGTTCGACCCAATATAACAACTTCACCCAGGTCTTGCGTGTTTCTAATACAAAACATCTCAAATAAGTCTCCACACTCATATTCACCACCTCGATCTTCCTATTAATCGGTGGATGGTATATTGTACTTCTCTTCAAAATGGTGCCCTGCATCCTAAATAACTCTCTCCGAAAGTGGCTCGGGAACACCTTGTCTCTATCTGACACTATGGACTCTGAAACTCTATTTAAGTGAACCACCTCTCAAATAAATGTTATTGCCACTAAAATTGTCTTGTATGGGTGTCACGGAGAATTGAAGTGAGCATACTTGCTCAGCCTAACCATTATTACCAATATCACCAAAAAACCACTCCGATTTTGGCATACCTTCAATAAAATCCATGGTTATCTCTTTCCACACCTTAACGAGCAGAGCTAGATTACAGAAGTCCACCTAGAGCCATTGTCGTATATTTGTGCCTCTGACGGATATCACAATTGGCTACCATCTCCTTCACATCTTTTTGCATTCAACCAATACAATTCTGTTGTTAGCCTACGATAGATCTTTGTACCGCCGAGTGCCCTCCATAATAAGTGAGGTACATATTGCGATGTTCTTAGTATCACTATTTAACATTGGTATAACAGCCTCTAATCGACTACGGTATAGCTTGGATGGCTATCCTTGTTCCCCAATAAATCTTTCATGATTCTCTAATCCTTCATCTTGCTGACTTTCCCTTCTCAATGCCTCCCCATCCACAACTAATGGAACAAACAATGTGATAGGGATCTGACCTCTACACAATGAAAACAACAAGAACGAAGAGAAAATGCAGCAAAAATCGATGAGAAAAATTATTATTTCAACACAAAAAATCAAACTATAAGTTGATTTACTATTCAAAAAGTAGATCGGCTCTCCACAAACCCTAGGTGCCGCTAGGAATAACTCCAAAAAAAATTATAACAAACACAAATAATCTCATAAGCTTAAAATAACCCAATAATGCTAATATAAAGCTTTATAATTCTCTCTCAAAATCTGCATTCAATAAGCCTTTCTTTTCTTAAATAAACTTTCCTAATTCCCTCCCAATTCTAAATTCAAGCCAACCCTCTTTCTTTAAATAAAAGTTCATAATTCCCTCTTAATTTTTGTTTTAAATGTTAAGTAATTAGAGGTGGAATTATTTCCCTTTGATCCCCTCTCTCCTCTTACCCACCGCCCACCTTCGTGGGGCCCACCTGCTCAATAGCTAACGGCCAAAAATTCTTGCTGATTACTGTAGTTGGACTGGTTAAAAATTTAATAAAGATAAATCTATGATGATTTGTGGAAAATCAGTTAAAAAGAAAAGGAAGAAGTTAGTAAAGAAGTTGGGGTTTCAGGTTGTTAAAGAGATGATGTATCTTGGTGTGAAAATTGTTTTTAGAAGAGTTGATTCTTCGAATTTTCAACATCTGATGGAAAAAGTATTGAGCAAATTGAATACTTGGGGAAGCACGCAGCTGTCTTTAGCAGGGAAAATTGTTCTTATAAAATCTGCTTTTCTTGCCTTTCCGTCTTATTTATTCTCTCTTTAGTGCCTACAGTTTTATTAGAATAATTAGATAAGTTGTGTAGAAACTTTTTATGGCATAAAGAGCAAGGAAAACATGGATTGCAATGTGGCGTGGAGTGATATTTGTTTACCTGTGGTCCTGTGGATAAAGGTGGATTGGGTTTACATCCAACAGTTGCAAAATAGGGTCCTTTGAGGACTAGATTGGCATGGAACTTCATTCAGCATCCTTCTTCTCGGTTAAAAAGAAATCTAATTGCAAGATATGGGAAGGACATTTGGAGGGGAGAAGTGAAGAAGGGAGCTTCAGATGCATGGAAAATCATGGTGGAATGAGCCAGGTACCATCGACCTTTGATTAGATGGAAAATTTGTAATGGTGAAAATGTTGGAGCATTGAATGATATTTCGATTTGGACAAGAAGCTAAAGAATATTATGCATTGTGAAGATTGCCAAAGTCTTCAAGGAATGAAAGTCTCTTATCTGCAGAATGAGGATTCCAATTGGAATATTTCTGAAGTTAAGCAATTGTTCTCAGAACACTGTTGAAGACATTTTGAAAGTTCCACAATATCCAGAATTATCAGACGATAGTTCTGAGCTATTATATATGGAAACTGGAAAATCATTAACAGCTTTGGCTTTTGAAGCCTCAATTCCCGTGGTAGATGAAATAAGGAAAAAATGGAAATGGCTTAGGAAATTAAATTTAAATCCTAAAGAAGCTATTTTTTTGGTGGAGAATGATATGGAATGCAATTCCAACTAATGCTTGGTTGGAATATAGGAGATTACTTTAGGGAAATTTCTGCCCAAGAGGGCATAAGCAAATTTAAGATCAGCATCATGTTGCGGATTCGTGTATGAAGTTGAAAGAAGTGATTGCTTCCTTACAAAGATTTGGAATCTATCTTCCTTGTTTTAATGATTTTGTTGAATGCTTGAAAGAATTGAAAAATCATCTTCGTGTCAATCCAAATTATGGTAGGATATATTGTAGTGCTGCGTATCTATCATGGAGAGCAAGAAATGATTTCAAACATGGAGCATCGCCAGATTTTTGTTGACCCTTATGTTATGCCCAAAGGAAACAAAGGGAGATGAGATCAAGGTAGAAATCCAGCATACATACATCGCATACCTGTTGGATCCTCAAAATCGTGCTGAAAACCCGCTGCTACAGTCATATCTCTGCGAACGGCGCCGAATCCATCACTTCTCCGCGATCCCTGCGCGAATCCTGCGACGACGGCCTCGTTTCTCGCCTCTTTCGCGTCTATAAAATGAAAGGGAAGCCTCTTCCACACACGACTCCTCTCCCATCTACTTCCCGAACTGCTCCCGACCTCCTCTTCTCAACTCCATACGAAAGCCCTGCTCCCGTCGATCTCCTCCCAACTCCAAGCTATAGCCCTCCGATCTCCCAACCACGACCCGTCGTTCCCCTTTTCTCCTTCCGATCACTTCGGTAGAGAGAGAGAGAGAGAGAGAGAGAGAGAGAGAGCTCCTTATCTGAAGATCGTCGCCCTTCTCTTCTCCGAACCGAAGCCGGTCCGACGAAAGCCCCCCCATAGAGCCTTCCCATCCCGCCTCCTTCCTCCTATCTCCGACCAAAACCGACGACCCGAAGCCTCCTTTGGCGACGCCCCTTTTCTGTCGGGTTTGAAGTCACGGCATTTTGATCGGAGTGAGAACAGGAGATCGCTGGCTTGAAAGTAACTTCCTCCCTTTGCACGCTACTTCGGCCAAGTCCAGTAAGTCCTCTCAACAGAGGAAAAACGGGATAAGGGTTATTATTAAATTTAATTAGTATTAATTTAATTAATTATAATTATTTTAGTTAATTATATTTATTATAATTAATTATATTAACTCTGATTAAATAATTATAATTAATTTTAACTTAATTATAATTACTTTTAATTAGAATTAACTTTAATTAATAATTTTTAATTATTATTAATTAGTTATCATTTATTAAAGTTAATTAATATGAGTTAGTTATAATTAATTAAATTTAATTATAACTAATTATTTTTAATTAATTTTAGTAAATGTAATTAATTATTTTTAATTACTTATAATTAATTATGAATCAATATAATTGATTAAAGATAATTATAATTAATTGATATTTGAAAAGAAAATGCTTCTCCCCCTCGATCCTCGAGCCAACGCCGTCGACCCCGCGCAGGTATAATTTCTAAATCCTAAAACTCCGAGAACCCGTTTCAACGCATTCGTCGAGGCAAAACAACCACCTATACACGCTTTTCTTAGTGTGGTGGGAGGGAGTGTGTCACGATGCTTGCGACGAAGCGGGTAATCACCCAAATTCCTTCTTTGAAGTTCATATCGCCTTGGAAACCCCGCCTATACACGCTTTTCTTAGCGTGGTGGGAAGGGATCCCGGTGCGATGCATACGACGAAGCGGGGATTCCCATAAGTACCAGCTTGCGGGGAAATAACTGCTGTTCTTGCAAAATACTATCAAAAAATGCTTTTCTTGCAAAATATTTTCAAAAATACCCATACACGCTTTTCTTAGCGTGGCGGGGGATCAAAAAATACACGGCTGCGGTGTCCTCGAAAGAGGGAACCTACCATACACGCTTTTCTTAGCGTGGTGGGAAAGGCCCAGTTTTCCATAGTTTTCCCCTAAACGGGGGAGACGCCGGAAGGCTGCCGAAATTTCGGGTGAACGCAATGTTGCACTTGGACTTGATTGCACTCGAATGACATGCAAGAACAAAGAGCTAGAACTTGTTTGAACTCAAAGGACGATCGAACTTGGACTCAGCTTGTGATCATTTGGACTTGATTGAACGGTGGACTCGGACTTATAACTTGATTCAATCGACCTAAGTGAACTCAAACCCAAACAAATTTGAAAATATAAGATTTGAACTTACATTTGATTTGAAAGTCAAATGAGAAGAATAATTTGAGACCTAGATTTGGTTGAACACAGAAGAACAACAGAGGACTTGTGGACTATGGACATGAACTTGAACAAAACCCAAATGACTAATAAAAGGCCGAATCCAAATAAAATGAAATCAAATTGGAACCAAAATCAAATCAATTTGAACTTCAAAGAACTTCTGAAGATCCTGAACCAAAGACTTGAACTTGTACTCTACACTCAAAGTTAGAACAAGATGTGGACAACAAGAACTTGTTCATTTAAGCATGAACTGCACGACACCAAATAAAGTTTGGGTTTGTAAACAATAGATTCAAATGCCAGGTGAACTCCATATGACAGTAGAGATTTGAACGAATATTGAAGCTCATATTGAGTTTGAAACTCAAAGTCTGAATGAATCGAACTTGAATCCTAACACTAAAATGAAGGATAAAGAAGTCTATTATCAATACTAAGTGATTTGTGGAAAATCTTGGAATGAACTTCAACGGTAATAGAAGACTTGTGGCGGGAAGATCGCAAGTATAAGTGACATGCCCCAAATGAACAACAATCCAAATGCCAATTCAATAGCCAAGCCGCAATATTTGATCAATCATACACGAACATAAAAGACCCGTCATCTACTAGTAGTATAAGACATGTAAAAGACCCGCTACATGTACAAGATGTCATCACAAGCAACTTGAAGGAGTTCTAAAATAGGCTTACCATTCCAGTAGCATTACAGTTTCCTAACAAATGAATATTAGTTGAGTGTATGTGAATGTGAAACATTCACAATGAACGAAGAGGAGTCCCTCATTCATATAGAAGCCTACTTAGGGTTGGTGGGGATGACGAATTCATGTGTAGTGGGGTGGCTAAATCATACAGCAGTCAATAACCACTCAGCATCGGTCAAAACAATATTCAGTCTATAGAAAGAAAGAATAAAAGATTCTGCTACATTACAATCTTTTTACGAGATACGGATAGTAGTATAAACATGCTACCAGGGTACATACAACAAAAAAGACTTCAAGTAAATGCAGTATCCTGAAGTCAATTTCAGTCTGTGAAAGAAGGACATCATCTACTACATGTAGTAATGCGGATGCACTGAAAAGGCCCAAAATCACCAACAAAATGCATGAAGAATATGAAACTACGAGATCATACGAATTCTCAAGCAGGAGATTAGTTAGTGCACATGACCCGCCTACGAAATTTCAACAAAATAGTGCACGACAGTCTACCTGTACGAAGGCAGCGAATAACTCTATTCAGAAGCTGCTACGCCACGCCACCGGATCTGCAATCACCGTACAAAGCAGACAGAAGCGTCTATTCCGAAAAATACCCCTGCCGTGCACTATTAATTTGTGATACACATAGGTACACTAAAAAGGGGTTAAATACAATTCGTAAAACCCGCCATGGGCCCCGGCGAGCTCGTGTATTGTACACACGTGACGTCTAGGATGCTGCCGGAGTTGACAAGGTGAATCTATTTCGAACCCGATCCTCCTATACGGGTCAAATAGGGTCGACAAGGTTCGAACTCTCAAACAAATATTACGAATGCTAGACCTAGGATTGTATAATACATTCGTACTAAGCTTTCAAGGCATATAACAATAAGAATTCAACTAATAGGGATATAAAGCCTACGAAACCCGATCCTCTGTCGAACAACCCGATAGATTGACAAGGTTCAATCCATTAAAGAGAAATGACCCAACACCCGATGGATGGACCGTGTTGAATGCAGTATCTCAACCGGACGGAGTTCCCAAATACTTTCAATTATCTCCCAAAAAGTCCATACAATACTCCAAAGCTTCCAACCAAAAAAATCCTAAAAACCCAAAATCCAAAAAACTCCAAAACAATCCCAAAAGTCCAAAAATATTTAAATTAAATCTCCGATACCACTTAAAGCAAATCGTCCACTCCGCCAATAGTCTGACGGGGTGGACAAATTCAAATCAACTCGTACGCTACAAAAGAGCCAATGCCTAGTTCGAAAATATTACTAGGATCCATTCTCAAACAATATATTTGCAGTAAGGACGTGCGTAACGTGTCCTCTAACGGACAGTTTCACGCCGCCAAATGCACTTGCAGGATAAACGGTTATTGACCGGGGGCCCTCTGAAACCGAATGGTTTTGCGCCCAAATGCACCACAGATAGCGGGTTATGGCCAGAGCCAATACGCTCCTTAATGGCGTTAAATCCATTGGAGATATGAATCATAGGGAATGATGCGTATAGGCGCCACAATACCTGCTGTAGCTAAGGTGATTTAAATGTTTCCCCTTAGCAAACATCAACCCCCGGTCTACAAGGTCCCTGACGAAGCAAACCCCAATGGCTGCCGACAAGGATCCTTCTCAGTTGGGTCGACTACCTCTCTAACTAAGTGAGACCGGCGGACCACGTGCCCGGATGACGGAAACATGGGATCATTGTATCACGTGTCATCATCCATTCCCCAACCATTCCGCTTTATCATGCGGTGAACATCCATTTAAGATAGGTCGAATTTCAACATTCCAAATATTAACCAAACCAACTTTCCAATACCAATTCTCTTAACCAATCCATCTTCCAATATCCATATCCTGCTACTATATGCAGATAACACGTTTATATACTTATATCTGATTGACGACAGCCTTAATCGAAAGTTCTCTTCGATGATCGGACGGGCGAATTAACTATTAGGGCTTGCGTCCTATAGGAACCAGAACTCAGATCATAAAGTTCCTCGCAAAATATGAGGCGATAATCTTCTGAGGTAGTGTCTTATCTAAAACCCACTGCCTTCCAAAATTTTATACCTCCGGAAACCTTATGTTCGTTAAAACCTCCCTCGCGATAAGACAAAGCGAGCGGAGCCGATGGCCGAATTTTCGGAGCCACAGATTTCTGCGACTCCGCTGGGTTTGGTTCTCGTTCCATTCTTTGGCTAGTCGTTCTCAGTGCTATAGTAGCAGCTATATCAAATCGTACTCAAAATTTTGAGGTCTTTCGCAATGATCATTTAATGAATCAAAGTGCCTGAATATTCTAAAATGATCATTTGACAAAATTCATTGGCATTCAGCATAGTTTTTAAAATATATTTATTATCTGCTTATGCTAATATGTTTTGTCTATTTTTTTTGTGTTTCTGGCAAGTCTACTGCATTTTGAAAGTGCGGGTGATGTATCAGATGCTGATTAGCTAAACCATTGCCTTTCCATTATGCAGATGGTATCTACAGGAACACCCCGATGACCGTCCAAAACTGGGACGAGGAGCCAGGATTTCAACTGGCTAAATGCTGGTATTGAGGACCGGAAATGCCGGACTACCACCGTTTGGTAGCGTTGACTTCCCGGCGAATTGCTGCAGGAGTGCCGCATTCCTGTGAATGGTAAGGAATGCTGAGAAGTCTGCCAGCAGATTCAATTGCTGATGAAGCTCCTATCGTCGTGTGCATCTGCCGGCACAACGAACCCTGTTGCCGAAAAATTCTCGTGGAGAATTCTTGTTTGAGAGGCTGGTCACAGCCTGAGGCCCTGACCACCAGGAGAACTGTGAATGGTGGAAAGTAACTCCGTGGTGACTGCAAACACCACCAACTCTGTCAAACCAGGTATCTACCTGAAAAATACGATTGTTGAGCCTTCCTCATCTGGAGGAAGGCCTACGAGAAGGCAAGAAGGAACATTGAGATGCTGAGCTCCGAGCTCAACATCAACAACTCCCGATTCACCCTTCCAATATGCCGCCAAGAAGCCTGAAGCAATGTTCCTACCCGAACAAGTTTACTGACCTGAAATGGTGCGGTAAAAAGAAACAGCTCTACTGGGGGAGGCTGAAGAAAGTCTTTTTGGAGATCGACGGCCTAAGCCCAATCCCTCCAAGAAGAAAGAGCCGAAACGTCTGTCTGCGTCGAGTGATACAGTCTTAGACTGTAAAGGAGAAGGGGCTGAAGAAAAAGAAGTTTCAACGGCCTTTGGTAGATCGAGGGGGCTAGGAGAACCCCGCCAAAGGAGCGTCTGTCCTTTGCGTACAAGAAAGAAGAGAAAGACAGTATGTTTCCCGGTGAACATCGGGGCGTGACAAACACTGATTACAGATTTCAGGGATTCGCCGCCTGGAAAGTCCGGTGAAAGGGAACAAGTCTGGAGGCCAAAGCCTCGAAGAAATGAGGAAAGATAGAAGAGCAAAAGGAGGGATTTGATCTCGGCGTGACATCCGGTTGAAGCTTCCGGGAGATCCGCCCCCATCTACGCAACAACGTCAGAAGTGGGCCCCAAAAAAGGACCCATTAATGACATTCTCCAGACGCGTAGACACCTTGGAGAATCCTCCAGGCGATCCCGATCGCCCTCCATCTCCTCAAAAGAAAAGACCAACTTCGCATCGCAGCCCACTAATCGCAAGAAGTCCCCGTGCCTAATCAAGAACCGAAATCCAATGCGCCCGTCGTTCGGAGATACCGAGTACTGGAGGAAAAATATAGATGATCAAAATATGGAGGGAAGAAAGAATTTCCATTGAAGGAGAAGAAAAATATTGATGATTTACTGGAAGAAAATTTAGAAGAAAAATCATTGATGATTTATCTAGAGGAAATCTAGAAGAAGGAATCAAAGAACATAAATAATACTCTGGACATGGAAGTTGTCTTATATGGTGAGACACACCAATAGGTTAATGAGGAAACCTATTATGATGAGGGTGAAGATGAAGACGATCAACAACCGCCGATTAGGCGAGTTATCACCGCTCGCGTGAAGCTGGTCCACACTGGCAGAGGTGGTCATTCTCAAAGTTGAAGAAGAGAGGAGAAGTAGAAGCGAGGAGAACCTCAGCTTTGACGAGAATGTCACACTCGCTGAAATGCGGCGACCTATATATGAGGCGACAAATGAAAGCCAAAGACAGGGAAATCTCTCAGTTTAAATGAGAGATGACTGAGATGATGGCTCAAATGGGGACGATGACTGACAAGATGATGCAGAGAACTGTCGCTGTTGGTGCATGCCCAATCCTCCGCTGATCTCCAAACCTTCCAGAATTACCTCAAGTCTCGGAGTACAAGGTAATTCCTGAAGGTGGTCGCGAAGTCATTTAACTGCCATCCGTCAGCCCAGCATCCACAAAATGTTGGCAAGTATTCTGAAACCTGTGACTGCTGCACAGTTGGAAGGAATAATAACAGAAAGGATCAGGGCTTATCATAGCCGTTGATCAAAAGCTTGAAAATTAGTGGCCAAAGGCGTCCGTATCCTGCTGAATACGACAAGTACGTACCCAAAAGGATATTCGGTCCCAAAGTTCAACACTTTCAATGGTAATAACACCCCAGACAGCAATCTCGGCCCACAGTTTAAAGCACCGTGTGGGGAAACAGTGAGGAAATGACGCTCTAACTTCTTTCCGACAGTTCGTTAGTAGTTTAACAGCAACTCGGCTTCGAATGGTATGCTGAACTGCCGAATGATTCTGTAAAACCTTCGCAGAATGAAAATATGTCGTGAAGAGATTCGCCCAGTCCAACAAGAAATCAATCTCCTCTTGGTGTGGTGGT